TCATAGAAACTACCTCTCTCTCTCTCTCTCTCTCTTTCTCTCTCTCTCTCTCTCCAAATACGTGTATGCTATGATAGTACCATAGATATAGTATAAACATATGCTATGTTATCATGGACTATAGCATGGGCTATATACTCGGGAGTCTCTCCCCCCCCATATTGTATATACCGTGTAGACATGCTATCATGCAAAGGAAAAAGTTTAACTAAAGTTACTTTAAAATGTAGAATTAAAGATGCACCTCAAAAACCCATCATAAAAGTTGTTTGGATACTAGAAAACCCTCTAATTGATCATCTCGATATCGAGATATATGAATATAAAGAAAAAAAGATTTCGAGTCCACGAAACAGTGTATCATGCAACACATTATTTGGACTGTCCATTTCCAGATTTTCATGTATTTCTATATCTACTTGATTTGAACCATTTTTAGAGATTAAAATTTTATAATTAGAGATGAAAATAGATTCTCAAACTATCTTGAGAATTTTTTATATCAAAATTACTTTTATGATAAAATTTAGATGTGCACCTTAATTGGATTGTTTAAGGTTCTAGTATTATGCAAACCACACCCTTATGCAAATATGGCATGATAGTACTAGGGTGGCAATGAACCGGGACCCAGACCCGACCCACGTCTGGATATGGGTCCACACAATAGGCCCTAGGAGTCGGGTCCGGGTCTGGGTCCATGTGGACCCGACCCCAATAGTGTTATTATTTAAATAATAATTAATATACCATCTTACTAATATTTAATATATATATATATATATTTTTTTTTTTAAATTTTAAAACTTTTCTTGGATCGGGTCCGATCAGGTCAGGGTCTGAGACCGGTTTCGGGTCTAGTTGGATCAGAGGCCAAGTCCCATAATTTATTTTGGATACCCGTCCAGACCTTTTGTCGTCCCTAGTTGGGGAGTGATTCGGGCAAGCAATGGGTCGGACTACCCAGTCTGTCCCTGAAAGATTTGGGCATAGGTAGGGGTGGCAATGGACCTGGACCCGACTCATACACGACGGGTATACCCCGACACGGGTCTGGGTATGGGTCCATGTTTTGGACCCACGGGTAGGGTGCGGGTCCAATAAGGATACCCGAATAGTCTCGGGTACGGGTCTTGCTATACCCGACGTAGCTGGTACCCGAACCTGAATTTTTAGTTTGTCCAAATGCCAAACTCCAACCCTAAAGTCGGTGCAATACTTTTGGTCTTTCCCTGGTTCCCCAAGTGGCCAAATCCCATCGCCATCCTCCCTCTCAGCAATTCTCCCTCTCTCAATTTCTTAGAGACATAGCTCTCTCTCTTTCTCTCTCTCTAATTGCCCACCCCTCAAAAATCAGTTTTATGTTTTTCACCATTGTAGGCTACAAAAAAAGGAAGTTCATAGTGAGGGTGGTAATGGACCTGACTAGTGGGTCCAACTTTTCGACCTGACGGGTCTGGTCCAGGTCCAAAACTTGAACCCGAATATATTTGGGTTTGGGTCTGGGACCGGGTCCAGCTGGACCCGACCTAGTGCCACCCTAGGCATAGGTCATAAAATATAGCGTAAAGAGCGTGCTTGGACCAGGCCACCACGCTTCGAGGGTCAGGATAGGAGCCATGGCCCGCCTAGCATAGTGTTTCCCCTCTAGTTTTTCACTTGTTTTTAGAAAATAATTTTTTAGGCCCAACCTGGTCTTGGGCCAAGGCCCTCCAATCTGCTTGGGCTGGCGCTATAGGGATCCTGGGCAAGCTCGTGCAGGCCCGGCCTGTTGCCATCCCAAAGTGATGTATCCTTGTGACCCGATGAAAAATAA